ATAATCATCGATTTCCATATTTACCTATTTAGGGTCATATCCTCGAAAAGCTACACTTGTTTCATGTCCTGTCAAATCACCTATCCCCCATTACTTCTTTGACCTACCTTTACCTCTCTTCAGCCCCTTCATATCCAACCTCTCACACCTCCTTACTGAGGAATCTAAGCATATTCTTTTCACATGTATGAACTATCTCGATCTCACCTTCTTCATCTTATCCACAAAAGGGGTCACTCCTACATCATCTAGAATAACATTGTTTCTAACTCTACTCTCCTAGTATGTCTACACATCCATTACATCATCCTCATTTATGCAACTATCATCTTCTCAATATGCAAGTTTTCTTGGCCACTAAATACGCTTTCTCATACAACATAGCAGGTCTAACCACCACTTCTTATAAAAAATTTTATTCTAATACTTACTAAAAATATTGTTTTTTTTTTAATTATTTCATTTCTTTCTCATTCTCAATCTTTACTTCATGAGATTCTATTATTTACTTTTTTCATCAGCATAATTTTGTTAGTATTCTATTTTTAAATCAAAGGAGAACACATTGTTGAATAAGGTTATAAACTTACGATTTTCTTTTTTAAATTATATTTATGTACGTTATGTTGAAATTTGACATAAAAGTATTATGCTAAATTTTTTGTTTTGAACTTAGAACTTATATGTTATACTTTTAGTTTTCATGTGTTTTGGTATAGTATTGACTTGTTATTTCACATTACAAGCCATTTTTTTTTAAGTTAGACTTGATATATAATCTTTTTGTCAAATATCTTAATAATTTTATGACATTATATTTATAATATTAACTTTTTTTTTATCAAACGTGCACTTTCTTGATTAATTTGATTAAAATATATTAATTTGAAAAATATAAATCAATCTTTTATAACATTAGTTAATGATATATGTTTATTAAATAATATATTTACAAAATACAATATATTACTTAAATATTTAATTTAATATCATTTATAAATACCCTTATTTGTCTAATATAATTTTTAAATTTTTGACAATTAACTTTTATTTTTAAAATTTCATATAACCTTATGATTGCACTTGTGTAACCAAACAGTACACTTATATATTATATTGCGATAAACCAACAGGTCATCGTAATTACTAAGTTATGTAATTACTACTCTAATAATTACACCAATTATAATTAGGAGATGGCTTACCAAACACACCCTAACTGACTATATTTTTGAATGAAAATATGTTTTCAACTCTATCATTGTATACAATTCAAATAAAAATAAAAGGGTTAACCCATCGGTGGCCCCCTAAACTTGGCACCAACTTTCACTTAGGCACCTCAAGTGGGCGATGTTCATTTTAGACATCTCATGTAGGGTCTCGCTGTGTCATTTTGACACTTTTTGCTGACTAAGCACAGTACGTGTGCTACACGAATTTTGAGCGCGTCAGTAGACTTTTTTTGTAAATATTCTGACTTTTTTGTAAATATTTTCTTCTCCTTCTTCTTCCTTGCTTTCTCCCTTCCATCTTCCCCACCTTCTACCATCCTCCATCACCACACAACTTTTTTAAACTCTTTGATACTTCCATTTTCTTTGAAAATCGAATTTGCATCTTGATTCATATTCAAAAACAAAATCGATTTCAAGGGAACAAAAAAAAGAAATCAACTTCTTTCAAATGGAAAAACTGATTTACATTCTTACCTTCTCCATTGAAAATTAAATTGATTTCAAGGAATAAAAAGAAATAAAAACAACCTCCAATGAAAAAAAGAAATTTATTTTACATATTCTTCATTGTAAATCCCAATCGTAGTAGCACAAGAAATCATCTTCTTTTAAATGTCATATAAAAACTTTTCGATTTGGTATGATTTTCCTTATTCTCCAAAACGTATTTTACTTTGTAAACTAACCTATGTTCTTGCCTTTATTATGGAGAAGAACAGATGAAGGGGAAGGAGGCGCAAGAAGAAGAAGAAAAGAGGTGGGGGCATGGGGTTTGGAATCTGGAAGAAAGAAAAAAAGAAAATAAAATTTTCACGTGTCACATACCAATTCATTTATTTTTCCACATAAGAGGTGTCTGGATGTACGCACTTAAAATGTGGTTTTGAAAATATAAAAAGTGTCAAAATGATACAGCGAGACCCTACATAAGGTGTCTAAAATGAATATCGCTCACTTGAGATGCCTAAGTGAAAGTTGGTGCCAAGTTTAGGAAGCCACCGATGGATTAGCCCAAAATAAAATGACATGAAAGAAGAGAATAATATGGATGACTGTAACACAAGGAAAAAGTAGAGGTTGTCATGGTTGAAAAGTGAGCAACTTATCGAAACTTTAGTGTAGAGAATAAGACAAAAGTTAAATAATTGAATTATGACCACAAAAGATTAAAAAAAAAAAAGTACCTCCATTGATGAAAACTTCAGGAAAAGAAGTGAAAAATCCACGGCAAGAGGCCGGAGCAACTTCAGCAGTGTAAACTGGAGCTATCATAAGAGCATATCCAACTCCAATACCAGCAACAAATCTACCAAACATGAGGAACCAATAGTTTGGGGCAAATCCCATCAATATTGCTCCTACAAAAAATATTAGAGATGCCAAAATAATAGTGTATCGACGACCTATCCAATCTGAAGTTCGACCAGCAATTGCAGCACCCACAAGAGAGTATATGTTGATTGTTCCCACAAGTATTTCAATCTGAACATCAGATATTTTCAGATCTTCTTTTATGTAAATCACTGCTCCGCTCATTACTCCTGTATCTACATCAACCAACCACTAACACATTTAATTATAGTATATGTACGTACTTACTCATTTTGACTCTAGATTTTTTACAAATGAAATTGAATATTATAGTACATAATCTTACCATATCCTAATAAGATGGATGTCATGGAAGCTAAAAGAGAGCAAGCTAATGCATATTTGTTTCTTTTTGGGCTTTTCAATTCTGAAACATTTTGATTTGCCATTACAAGCTAAGTCAGAGAGAGATGGATAGAGAAATATCTAGTTTCTGCACACAACAGAGACTTAAAAGTTGGATTTCAATTATACTCTCTCACTTCCAATTTGATTGATTGATTGATTGTTCGCTTCGTTTCGTTTTATATTAGTTAATTTGACTGTTTAAGAAAAAAAAATTGATTTAAAATTGAGAGTATATTTAACAAAATTTTAAAATGTAAATTAATGATATATATACAATATATTAAAATAATTTTAAATTATGTGGTTTTAAACTTTCTATGTTTAAAATTAGAAATTAAAAAATTGTCAAAAATGGGATATTTATTTAATATAAATTAAAAAAATATAGGATAAATAAATTAAAATGCAGAGTATAAATTAATGATGTGAGGGTTGTTTAACTTTCAATTAGTTAGTAGTACATATAAACTTTAAGATTCCTCATTATTTTGTGTTGGGCAGAGCTTAATGATTGTGGTTACGAGTGTCAAATGGACGGATTGGGTTGAAATTGGAGATATTAAAATGGGTTGAGATAAAAATCGGGTTAGGTCTTGACCCGCCCAAGTTTACTTTGGGCTCAAATGGGTTGGGTTCAAATGGGCTAAAAAATGGGTTGGGTTTTTGACCCGTCCAATTTGACCCGATTAATTTCAATAATTTTAACATAGTGATATTTAACTTTTATAATCACAATTCGAATTTCCACTCAAGATTTTTTAAAAAAAAAGTAACAATGGATAGATAAATCCTAAAGATATTAAATAGATAATAATTCATACCTTTAATATAGGAACATATCTTAGTAAATAGTTTTAAAATGGGTTGAAATTGGATATTGAATTTTGCTCAATTGAGGATTCTCTTAAAATGGGTCAGGCTTTAATGGGTTGAGATTGAACCTAATTCATCTTGAATCCAACCCTTAAAATTTTGATCGGGTTGGACGGGTTACTTATATTTGAGTTCATTTTTAACACCCCTAATTGTGGTCTTTCTTTCCAACTCCACCAGAGGGGGACGAGTCCAAAAAGAGTTTTTTCTTTGTTTTTTTAAAAACTACAATACAAAGTTAGATACTTAAATTAGATTATGATGGGAAGTTATCAAAAATAATTTGTAATTGTGGTGATTAAGCAGTTTTGAAATATTTGAGTAAATTAAAAATGTTTTTAACACTTGTTTGAAGCCAAAATAGCGAAAATAAACTAAAGAATCATAAGTTAGAATTTCAAATTTAGAAATTTTGACCTATAAATTATAAATCAAAAATTAATTCAAACAAATTCTAAGTAACATAGACTTTAATTATTCTGAGTTTAATTTTGTCAGAGTTCAAATGATCTAAATGATAATTGCGATTTGCAAATAATAAAGAATGAAAACGAGGACAATTATATACGGACCGCTTAGAAGGTATTCTTTATTTTATTCTACTTAAAAATAAGCAAACGATGACTGAAATGTTCCTTCCTTAGTGATCTATTGGCAATTTTTCAATAAAAAATAAAACCAATTATATGTTGTGAGTGATGTGACAGATTAAATTAGTCGGTAAGTAAAGGAATGTTTAACTTATGTGCACGTGTAGAACTTTTAATAAGAAAATAAAGTATAAATAACTATAACAATTGTGCATATTACTTTTTACTACTATATTTCTATTATATAGAAAGGTGAAGACGACCAGCCGACCAAGGGCAATTTCGAAAATTTGATATAATTGAAGGGCAAAATAGTAAATGCCTGGCTATAAGCCTAGAAGCATCTTTCAATTTTCAATTATTTTTTTAAAAAAATAATAATAATTTCACTCCATGATATTTTCAAGTTGGAGACTGAAAGTCTGAAACTGTCTCTTTCATTCTGGGAGCTTCCAGAGTTCTTCCATTGGAGGACACACATACTCTATAAACGTTCGTTTCATTTTCCAAGAGAAGAGAGGAGTACTATGCCAATTCTCCTTAAATAAATTTAAAGAATTTCTTGCAATTTAAGGTATGGCTTCTTCTCAATCTCCGCTCAAATCTTCTTCTCGAAATTTCTTAGTTGATGCTGTAGATTGGAATTTTGGGTTGAGAAAACCTGAAACTGAAATTTTGGGTTGAGGAGAAGTAGGATTTTCCTTGCTATTTTCTCAGTTGTTATTGATGTTGTTTTGCTAGCAGACAAACAAGGATTTCTTCCTAAGTTATTATAATCTCTTCAGATTTCAAGATACTCTTTCAATTCTCTTCATCTCCGCAGTTGAATGGTACATTTTCATGTATTTTTTCTTTCAACTTTTTTCATGTTTGCAGAGAGACGATTGATTTACCCCTTTCTTTTTTTTTCTTTTTTTTAATTTTCTTATATTTTAGATAATACTTTTTCAGTTCATTCAACTTCTTAGTTGGGTGATCTACAAAAAATAAAAAACTTCTTCGTTGGGTGTTGATTGTTTCAGTTCTACTCCTCATTCAATATTTGTCCAACTTTTATTTTATTTTTTCTGTTAATCTGTATGAGGGATTTATTATCTTATCTAAATTGATTTTTGTAATTAGATAGTGTTAAGCATGCGGTAGAAGAGGTTAGTGTGGAAGTTGGAACTTTGGATTTACATTTCCATAAATTTAGCGATAAAATAAGTTACAAAGTGTCTATCTTGATTAATGAAAGAAAAATTTAAAGTAAGTACTAACTACTAAGTAGAAGAGTATTTGCTTAAGGGCAGAACATACCATTACATTGGATGTTTATTTTTTTAGTTCTTAACTTTTATATTGCATAATGAAACTAAACGAAGATTTTTCAACCACATATGAAAATAGGTTACGATTGGATTGAATAGTTCTGATCAAAGACTTAGACAACTCTAGATTATAATTTTTTTCTTAAAAAAAGTTAAACAAGAAAAATATGGCAGGCTTCTTAATTGGTATATGTAGTTATCTTTTTCTTTTCTAATACATCAGCTGATGCTCATTTAATTTGTTATGATTTGCGGAGAGTAAAGAAGTTCGAATGATCATATATTGTGATGTGGTTTGTTCAGTGATGAAAATATTATGAACTTTTTTCACTCATTACATAGTAATGAAAAATGCTATTTAATATATCATATAAATTTATCGAAATGACTCATAAAGAGAGTGCTAATAGCTTTTTATGATTCATATTATTGAGGCAACGTTGAGATTAATATTGACATATCACAAAGGTAGGTAAGAATAATGTGGCTTAATTTTCTCTCTGTTCAATTTGTTTTATCGTATTACTACTTCAACCATTTATGAATCAGATTCTCCTACTTGTAGAATTTCAAACAAATCATAAAGGAGTTGCAGGGAGCTATAATGATTTCTTCAGCTTTCCAAACAATTCTTGGATACAGTGGGCTGGTGCCAGTATTACTTTGGTAAGAAATTCTTGTCCAACATTTATATGTATTCTTCTCTGTTGTCATGCTATGCTACAAATATATGCATTCATAATTATGCAACTAATATTTGGAACCTCATGGATGCTTCTAATAAAATTGAGTAATCAATTTTGTTGCTTATTTGGTCTTTACATTATGATATATTGTTTCATGGCATTATCAGCTTGATTCTCAGTTAAGTCATTTCTCTTCACTCTATTATACATGTATTCTTCTCTGTTGTCATGCTATGCTACAAATATATGCATTCATAATTATGCAACTAATATTTGGAACCTCATGGATGCTTCTAATAAAATTGAGTAATCAATTTTGTTGCTTATTTGGTCTTTACATTATGATATATTGTTTCATGGCATTATCAGCTTGATTCTTAGTTAAGTCATTTCTCTTCACTCTATTATACTGATCAAATTATACAAGTAAATATATTAGTATGACCTATGTACATTTTGTTTTTTCTGTTATATAGGTATGCCCTACAGACATTCGTCAGTGCTAAAATATAGCAATATTATATGATGTTGGATTGCATTAGAGAAAATCTGAATTGAGTTTTAATTATATAGAATGGAGTGTTCTTTTGTGTGCTAATCATCGGTAACAATAACCTGTGCACAATTCATTAGTAGAGACCTTAAATTTACGACTTCCTTTTTATTACATTGTTTCTTCTCATGGTCATCCTTCCCTACATGAAATCCTTTTGATTGCCCCTTCTGTGTTGTGATTTTCGTTCTAAACATTCTTCAAGCTCTCATGATAAGTTGTCAATGCTTCCTTTCCATTGCCAAGCAACTTAGATTAATGTAACTAACTAAGTTGAATCAGATATATAGAAAAAAAAATTCTATCTCTTCTTATTGTTCACTTGACACATGTGATCAATTTAATCCACAATATATTTTTAGCTTGTTATTGATTATTTCCTTGGAGGTATGAGTGGCTGATAGGTCTAGATGTGCTTCATGGAATTGTGTCTTGATGCATTTAATCTTATTAACATTGTAGTAGCTTAAATAGGTGGTCATTGATGCATTTTGTTTTTGTGTTGTACAGGTTAAATGGGATGGAATAGGACATGAGCTTACTCTCTCATCAGTATTTGTAGTGTTGTCTGTTTATCAGCATACAAGATTTATGAATACATACTTTTTTGTGGAAGTGATATCAAGGTAATATGCTCTGACCTTAGTCTGCTATGGACTTTTATGTGTTTTTGGTTGCTTGTTATAGTGGAAATTCCTTTATGTAGTTTTTGGCATTTTTTGGGTTCTTTTTTGGTGGAGATCTTTGTCTGATACTTACTTTTACCTAATTTAGCAAGCTTATAAAATAATAGCATGTGATTTTATATGCTTTCGCTTACTCCGTTGTCTATTACGTTCTTCATGTTTTCTATTGGATATCTATCAAACTTTAAGTGGTTGGGCTCCTGCTAGAGAGCATCACAGCAAAGGCAGTCGCTTTCTTGAATAAATGTTATGAAAGCACCATTTCTCAAGGCAATATGGTAATGCCATTATCTATGAGCAGCAATATCTATAGATGCATACCAATTTTTTAAATGTTTCTCCCACAAAATATTCAGTTGAGCATCTTTCGAAGAACTGCGGTCAGCCATACTGCAAATGCAGTTGGTAGAACCCGTTCGACGATGCATTTCAAAGTAACTCGGTAAGAAATTCTTCTCATCCTTTCCGCAACTCTCTATGAGTTTAGTTGAACAATTTTTTTTTAAAAGTTAAACAAGTAACTGATAGCATTCCTACTCTTTTCTGAACCACCACGAATCCAAAAAAAACTAAAAGCTAAGCCTATATATGTCATGTACAGGCAGGTAGTGGTAGAAACTAAAAGAGTTAATGTTGCTGAACTACTTCTTTTTTTAAAATTTTTTTAACCCTTAACTCTATGGGCCTGATTTCTATAATTAAAATGGTAAATGGAGAAGATTGTTGCTTGAAAGTTGTTACTGAATGAATTTACTACTACTGAATACTCCAGATGCCTAAATCAAGTATGCTGCATCTTATATTTCAATTTTTTTTTCTTTATACATGCAAGATATTTTCTACTTTGGCTATGTCATGGTACAAGTTCTAACACTTCATTGTGTCGTGAATGTGTATACTAAGAGAATCACTAATTATTCCACCTCCTTTCACCTTTTGGAGTTGGTGGAAGGTGTTGAGTTCAAACATCAAAAGGTACATATATATTTAACATTCAAAGTTTTAAATGTAAGAGAGCGACTTTGATGAGATTAATATATTAGATGTCGACAAATGTATTTTAGGATGGATAAGATGGTTAATATATATTGTTAGTCATTTGACAAGCTATTCTCAATATAAAATATTGGGCCATCAGATAGTCGCAAACTTAGCTTAGCACTTTTTATATGTCAAATGATAATTTGTATATGTGCAGGAGAAAAAATCATGTCTGATGGTTCTAAGAATCGACTGAACAATGTTAACAAAGAATAAGATTAACATTTATACTTATATCATCACTTTTTTCATTTCAACTTTTTTATATTTTGTTCTTTTAATTAGATTTTACAGTTGTGTTTGTTTCTTTAAGGGTATTTTCATGAATTTAAGGTTGTACAATAGAGATCAATGGTAACTTGGAGCAGGTTTATCTCTATTGAATGAATTTTATGATTATTCATCTTCATTTCTTCTATTATAGCTAAACTTACTGAAATACGTATAATGTATTTTGATATTGATATTACAAAAATCAGGAAGGGAATTTATCAATGAAAAATTATTTAAAAAGTTGCCTAAAGTATCAACATTTCCTAATGGATTAGCCGCATAAGGCAGCTGCATAATCTTTAACCCAATTGAATGTACCTCATTTAGGACTTGATTAATCTAGAGTCTTCACTTTAATTGATCCACCAGTCTTGCTATATGTTACACTACTACATGTAAGTGTGGTACATTCTTTGTGATTGGATTTGATGGGAAATCTTTTCTTTTCGACTTAAGTTTGATGCTTATTGTATTTCCAAATTTATCTTTTAGGTTTTTATTTATTTATTCCTTGAAACATTTTATCTCTGCATCATTTGGAACCTCTTCCTCTTATTAGCACCACATTAAATTTGAAAATTCTTCTGACCCTTAGTTATTCAAGTTTTTTGATGAACTTTGTGTAGATTTTTCAATATTAGATATTTGTATAGTTCTTTTATTACTTTTTTGAGGCAACATGTATAGTTTTAATCAATAATCTTGCATGCTTTCATGATTTTGCTATGGATACCTTGACAAAATTAGTTGTAGGAACAAATGTTTCTATTGTAGTTATATTTAATGCGGACCCTAACGACTATTCTTTTCTTTACTTCTTTAACAGTAATAATCTATTCACATTATATTTTCTACCGTGATTATGATTGTCTTTTCGCTATCTGAACCTTCATATGCTCTTCAATTCAATTCTTTTTGTTATAATGTTTATACATTAGAAGCTCAGATCTTAGATGTGTATCTGAGTTTTTTATTCCTTTTCTTTTTCTTTTTTTAGTGTATGACACCTTGCATTAGATTAATATACTTGGATGTTGTCACTATTATTGATCTAATGAACCTAAGGAGCAAGTACTAAGATCCTTTTTAATTTTAGGGACAATACTGAATCAAATTGGAAGTGCAAAATACACGTAATCTTAGATTAACTCATGAAGAGTACAGAAAAAGCTGCAAATTGTCATGGTACTGAAATTTTGTGAACAAGTAGCTTCATGTTGTATGATGGTTGCTTAAAAAATGCTGAACGTTTCAAACCTATCAATTTTTTATAGATAAATATATATATAAATCTTTTTTGGTGATATTATTTATTGATGATGTGAAATAAAGTTTCAAGTGGCTAGGTACTGAATTAACAGTGTTGTCTTTATCCCTGTTTTATTTTATCGGTTGACAAATTTTAATATATTTAGATTGAAATGTATTTTTGAGCATATTATTTGATTAATTATTTTCTAGAGATTGTGTGTTGATCTGTTTATCAACAATTTTGGTAACTTAATTAGGAGATCATTAATACATTTATTCATGTTGTGCAGTTTGAATCTACATTGTTTGTTTACTTTTTCTTATCAAATGTTGTAAGAACTTTTAGTTTCTTATTTTACTTAAACTTTCATACAAACAACAAAGGGCTATTGGCCTTCCTCCATACCTAAGAGGCAATTTTGTAGTATATTTGTAAATATAAATTTGCATTCCTTATAATTTTGTAATACAAATAATTTGTTGGGCCCGTGCATAGCACGGGCTGCACTGATCTAGTATAAGAGACTAACTCAAGCAAGGTCGTCATGCTTGCTTGCCGACCAAGGGGCACTCTCGAAATATCAGAAATTAAAAGCTTTGAGTATCTTAAGCAAAATTCGGTTAATAATTGTACTTGTTATAAAATAAAGACTAAGTAATAAAATTAAACTAATAACAACCAAGAAGAGAAGAATGTAGTAGAGAGATAAAATAGGAAATTTTTGTGTGTTTTTCCATACAAGTTACAATGTCTTTTATATAGGCATAAGAAGGGTATAATGGACATTCATTAATCCATTTACAACACTCCCCCTTGGATGTCCATGTAAAATAAAATTCTTAGTAAAGTAACAAGTATAAATAGTTGTTACTAATACGCATTACTTGCTGCCTCATTAAAAACCTTATCAGGAAAACCTAGTGGGATAAAACCTTGATTAAGGAAAAAAGAGTACAGCGCGTATTTTACTCCCCTGATGAAAATCACGATTTAGTTATCCAAGTTTTCTCATTCCAATCTTGTATACCATCTTCTCGAAAGTTGCGATTGGCAAAGACTTAGTGAATAAACCAGCCACATTATCACTCGAACGAATCTGATGTACGTTGATATCACCATTCTTCTGGAGCTCATGTGTGTATAGAAGAACTTCGGTGAAATGTGTTTCGTTCTATCTCCTTTTTATGAATTCTCCCCTGAGTTGTGTTATGCATGCTGCATTATCCTCATATAAAATTGTGGGTACTTTGTCGCATTTCAAACCACATTTTTCTCGAATAAGGTGTATTATGGACCTTAACCACACACATTCTCGATTTGCTTCATGAATAGCTATTATCTCAGCATGATTTGATGAAGTGGCCACAATAGATTGCTTCGTAAATCTCGAAGATATGGCAGTACCCCCACATATGAATACGTAATTTGTTTGAGATCGGGCTTTATGTGGGTAAGATAGATATCCTGCATCAACATAACCAACAAGGTTTGGACTGCAATCGTTAGAATAGAATAAGCCCATATCGATAGTCCCTTTTAGATACCGCAATATGTGTTTGATCCCATTCCAATGTCTCCTAATAGGAGCAGAACTATATCTTGCTAACAAATTAACCGAAAAGGTTATATCAGGCCTTGTAGTGTTAGCAAGATACATTAATGCACCAATTGCACTGAGATATGGTACTTCAGGACTAAGAATTTCCTCATTCTTTTCTTAAGGTCGAAATGGATCTTTATTCACATCAAGTGATCGAACAATCATTGGAGTACTTAATGGATGTGTTGCATCCATATAAAATCTTTTCAACACTTTTTCTGTGTATGCAGATTGATGAACAAAGATACCGTTTATCAAATGCTCTATTTGCAAACCAAGACATAATTTTGTCTTTCCGAGATCTTTCATCTCAAAATCGTTCTTCAAATATTCGATTACCCTATGAAGTTCCATTGGAGTTCCAATAAGGTTTATGCCATCAACATAAACAACAAGTACAACAAACTCTGACATTGCCTTCTTTATAAACACACAGGGACAAATCGCATCATTTATATAACCTTCCTTAGATAAATACTCACTAAGACAGTTATACCACATACATCCAGATTGCTTCAAACTATACAATGATCTTTGCAATCTAACTGAGTACATTTTCCGAGACTTTGAATTGTATGCTTTGGGCATTTTGAATCCTTCAGGAATTTTCATGTAGATATCATTATCGAGTGATCCATAAAGATAGGTTGTAACCACATCCATCAAATGCATTTCAAGCCTCTCATGGATCATGAAATTAATGAGATAACGCAATGTTATTGCATCCATAACAGGTGAGTATGTCTCTTCATAATCGACGCCAGGCCTTTGAGAAAATCCTTATGCAACAAGACGTGCTTTGTACCTTTGTATTTCATTTTTCTCATTCCTTTTCCGCATAAAAATCCATTTATAGCCAACAGGTTTAATACCATTAGGTGTTTGTACTATAGGCACAAAAACTTCGTGTTTGACAAGTGAATTCAATTCTGATTGAATTGCTCTTGCCATTTTGGCCAATCATTTCTTTGTCGACATTCTACAACAAATTGAGGTTCAAAATCCTCACTATTTTGCATAATTTTTTATGCAACATTGTATGCAAAAACATAATCCACCGCTATTTCTGATCGATTCAGATTTGTTTCATCATCACTTGATGTTATGGATAGTTCATTATTTTCTTGAGTCTCAAGCTCATTGATCCCTTCAAGGATACCAGAATTATTCACATCTTGACTTTCTATGTGAGGTTTTTTCATAGTGTCATTTTAATCTTTTAATTTTCTTTTTCTAGGATTTTGATCCTTTGAACCTAATGGTCTACCACACTTCAGGCGTGCTTTTGACTCACTAGCTATGACACTAGTAGATGGTTCTACAGGGACATCAATTCGAATTGGGACATTCTTTGCAGGAATATGTGATTTAGTAATCCTTTTCAAATCTGTAAATGCGTCTGGCATTTGATTTGTAATTTTCTGCAAATGAATGATCTTTTGTACTTCTTGCTCACAAATGGAAGTACGGGGATCAAGATGAGACAATGATGGATTTTTCCACAAAATTTCTCCTTTAATTTCACTATTTTCTCCCCCAAATTTTGGGGAAAATGTCTCATTAAATCGACAATTCGCGAATCGGGATGTGAACATATCTCTTGTTAGTGGTTCAAGGTAGCGAATAATAGAGGGTGATTCAAACCCAATATATATTTCTAACCTTCTTTGGGGGCCATCTTAGTGTGATGTGGTGGTGCTACCGGCACATATACAGCGCATCCAAAAATTCTTAGATGAGATATGTTTGGTTGTTGACCCAAAACCAATTGCAATAGGAAGAACTTATGATAATGTGTCGGTCAGAGACGAATAAGTGTTACAGCATGTAAAATTGCATGACCCCACACAGAAGTGGGAAACTTAGTTTTCATAAGTAATGGTCTTGCTATCAACTACTATCGTTTAATTAATGACTCAGCCAGACCATTTTGAGTGTGAACATGAGCTACAGGATGTTCATCTCTTATCCCAATAGATAGACAATAATCATTAAATGTCTGGGATGAAAACTCTGCAGCGTTATCAAGGCGAATAGACTTAATCTGATTGTCAGGAAATTGTGCCTATAATCGTATTATTTGTGCCAACAATTTTGTAAATGCCAAATTGTGAGATGACAATAGGCACACATGAGACCATTTAGAAGAAGCTTCTATCAGAACCATAAAATATCTAAATGGCCCACTTGGTGGGTGAATAGGTCCACAAATGTCCCCATGTATACGTTCCAAGAATGCAGGGACTCAATTTTGACCTTTGTTGGTGATGGTCTCACA